GTTGGCTAAACTAAGCGGGCAAGTTTTGAATTCTAGAAGACCTAGTTTTATCCAGAAGAAATCCTAAAAGGTCTCCAGATGATGTGAACCTCAATCATCCATTCATTTTCTACAAGCTGCCAGTGGAACTTTCTAAAATTAAGCTCTCATCCCATTTAAAATTAAGCGGTTCTACTACCATGTGCCTAATGACCAGCTGAGGTTATTTATTTACCATACCACTAATAGCAATCTATCCAATCTGAGCCTCCCAAAATGGGCGAAAATGCTGCTATTTAAGCATTTTCCCCAGGTGACTCTGATGCCAGGGTAAACCAGACGTCTTTGCATCGAATCAGTCCCTCCAACAGGCCCCACGGCCCTCCCAGCCTTATGTTTAAACACCTACTCCCATAGTTCCCAGAAAATACAATCTTAGTTCCTCACCCCTCAGCACTCCTTGCTTTCTGTTCTGTAATGGTGACTCCCTTCACCTGGTAACAGCTGGGTGTCTAACTCAAGCCTTCCTGTTCTCAACTGAGTTCTGTCATCCCTCCATCCCTTCTCCCAAGACTTCCGGCCTCTAATGCTTGCTTCCTGGAAGCTGCTTCCTTCTCCTCTTCCACACACAGTACACAGCACTTACCTGACCACACGTATTAACTATTTATAACTATTTATTTACTTGTCTCTAAGCCACCAAACTGGGTTCCTTGAAGGCAGGGGTTTTAGCCCAGCTTAATGTTACAGCCTCAATGCCATACCTCAGAGTGGGCCTTGGAGAAAATCTTAAATCATACTAAGCAAAATTAAACTGTCTGAACCAATGTGGGTGAAGGCCAGATTCTAGTTCTAAGTAAGCATTTACCATCAAGATGCACCCAGTCTCTTTCCAACCTCTTAATTGAGATACTAATGAATTCACAATTATCACAATTCCTATAATCAGATGGTTGACAATTGAGTTAATTACCATAATAGCAGAAACCAATTCATTATAAAATATTCCTGAAACCAAACAAGGTATTTCACAGGACACTTTCTCTTTGAAGTAAATGATACAATTTGAAACTAAGTGCTACACTGTCAGGTACATGCCTTCCTTAGGTCACCCTAGGTGACTGCAACAGAAGCTTCACACTTAAGATAGTGGGAAGATCCTACCAAGACAACAAGCTAACCAAAGAGAAGACAGGCAGAGCGAACAAATGATAGACACGCTTCAGGAGTGAAATCCCTTCAGACTTTGTAATTACAGTGTCTGAAGATAGATTAATAATCAACAGAAAAGCAGCAGTTAAACCCCTGCCATCTTCACATGCAAACTCCAGAAGTCTCCTTCCCCTACCCAGAAGATGCACAGTTCCCTTTTACCATGCTTCCACAATGGTTTACATTCTTCACACTTTCATTCTTTCAATAAATGTTTGTTGAGTGCCTGCTGTTCCTGTGCTAGTCTTTGGTTAAGTCGGTCAAGAGAGCTATATAGCCCCTACCCTCTCTGAACTCACATGGTAACGAAAAGGGCAGACAATCAACTAATTATTCTAACTAACTGCTTACTGTAACTGTGGTAACACAACAGAGAATGCAAATGTTAAGACATAAGACAGCACAGAGACAGAGGCCAACCCATGCTCTCTTCTGTACTGCAAATCACTTGTCTAGTTCCTTACACAGAGACCTAATTACCACTCTAAGTGTGCACCTCTTTCAGCTGTTATTCTGAATAACTGTCAGGTTTCCAACTGTAGCTCTCTGATATACCTCAGGGAACATAAAGAAATTAAATTAGTTCAAAAGTAATTTTTCTAACCACTACCTTTATAGGAGCAATTTTTTTCTGTATCACTTTTCTCTACTAAGCAGGGTCACATAAGGGAACAAACCTCTTTTAAATATCTTACCGCTTTACCCTCTTATGGGACGATCATCCCCAAACACTGTTTTAATTCAATAAGCATTCATCAAACACTTACTGTTGAAGACCACGTGGTGGGCATGTGTGATCCAGAACGAAAAAAGGTCTCTAGGTGCAACTCACATGTCAGTAAAATAAAGCACACACATTTTTCTTTTGGATCTTTGGATTCATATTTTTTAATATGACTGTAACCGTGAGTAAAGAACCCTCTACCAGAAGTACTGTACATTACAACTTGTGGCTCTCCCCTTTAAAAAAACCTCATTATAACTAAAGTAGTTATATATCAACAAACTATTTCAGTGAACACCAGACACTTACTAAATTGATCTTTGTTTTCCAGGATGATAGGAAATCTGCCGTTAGACACAGGACATGAGTCAGATAACAGAAGAAGGGAAAAGATAGGCCCAGAAAGCCACACTGAAATTTCCTGTAAATTAGGACACATACAGAGTTGGAGATTTTAATCTAGAGATGTCTGCTAATAAGAAAAAGGCTCTCTACTAGGTACACTGCTGCAAATGAACATTTATTCTATTGGCATTTACCCAAGAAGTCAGATAGTAGTGGGGAAGCACAAGTTTCATGTGTCAATATTTACAATGAGAACCGATAACGAAAAGGGAGTAGAGTTTAAGGCAAAACAGGAGACATGTGGGTTAACAGCCTTCTTTGATAAAAGCTGTAAATCCTATCCTGGGTTATTAGACAAGGTCTATAATTTCTCCCCACTTAAAATTGTAAGACAAGTCAGTTCAAAGAGCTATTGCTTAAAGGTAGAGGGATGTACCATGTGACCGCCTAAGGAGCCTTAGTTTTCCTGATTCTAATTAGACAAAATCCATTGATTTTCTTCAGTTATTCATTCAACCCACAAGTGTCTACTGTGGAACTAGTGTGCCTGCACAGTAGCACCAGACTTAGGCCATGGAGGTGCATAAAACATTACCTTCTAATGGAAAGACACTGAAGAACTAATTCCACAAAGGAGCAGAGGGTGCTGAGAGCACACACTTACAATAAAGGGAAAGGGGGGGCTGGTGGGGACCAGGGCACTTAGTCACCCTCCTCTAAGTTTAAGATGTGAACATAAACGTAAATGGGGGAGTTACACTCTTGGCACATATAACAGTACTGGACAATGTAGTTCAGAAAAGGGAGTGGGGGAGAAACTCTGCAAGTGGTATGACATGAAGCTGGTGACACGGATGAGGACTGGATCGTTCAGAGCTGAAAGACCATGTGATAGATTTCGGTACTTCCTTCCAACAATGAGAAGACTGTGGAAGGTTTTATGCAAAGAAGTGATGTGAGCAGATCACTATGAATTTCAGTTTCCAGTTCCAGAAAGAACTGAAGGGCAAAAGCAGATATGGGTAAGCAATAAAATTTAATACTGGATTACAACCCAAAGGATAAAGTAAATATTCATAAATACATACTGATTGAATAAACATACACTGGAAAGAAAAGACAGAATTCCAAATAAATTATATTGATACTCTGCCCTCAAGGAAACAGAGCCTACTTCTCCATTGCTTAAGTGTAGTGTGTGCACTATGATTTCCTTCCTAAGAGGGTAACTTTACAAAGAGAAACCTGACAAATGCTACCTCAGCCCAGTGGTCAAAGTCAACATCAACGTGGTAAGTCATTTCACAGCATGTACTCTTCATACGATGCAGTGAGACTGGCACTTAATCTGTCATCCTCCTCCCAAAACTCACAACACCTGTCTACTCATGGAAAAAATAGCAAATTCCAACTGCAGACATTCTGCAAACTACTTAACCAGAACGCCTCAAAACTATCAAGCTTAACAAAACCAGGTAAAGCAATTTTCCCTAACCAAGAAGGCCCTAAGGAGATGGTGACTAAAGTAATGTGGTGTCCCAGACAAGATCCTATAACCAAAAAGAAGAGCATTAGGTAAATATAAGCAAATCTGAACAAAGTATGTACTTCAGTTAATAATAATGTGTAAGTACTGATTTATTAATTGTGGTAAGTGACTGTGCGAACGTAAGATGTTAAAAACGGGCAATCAGGTGTGGAATCTGTGAGAACTCTGTTCCATCATCCCTGCAGATTCTGTCAATCTACTCTAAGATCTTCTATACCTATTCCGAAGTGAAAGATTACTGAAAGTGTCTGCACTGGTCCTGATACGGAACCCCGAGGCTAAAAAACAATAGAACACACAGGACAGCACCTGGTGACTCACTGGCTAGTGGGTGGGGTAGGGAAATCAGAAATAAGTGACACAGATAACAAAGATGAAAGGTTACTGGCCACATTTTCATGCCTGGACAACTGGATGGTGGGGAGGGGGGGTCATTCACTGATATGGGAATAATGCAGGAGAACCAGATTTTGAAGAAAGTTAACCATCCTTTATTGGAGGCGCCCTAATGTGCGAGGAGCTTTTCAAATTCTGATAATCATCTTGCAGAGTAGATCACTTGGCCGAAAGCCAAACAGAGAAACTGGATTTTGGTATCAAGTTTTTAAGTACTCCAAAGCCGGCGCTCATGCCCCGGCACAATCCTTCCTGCGTCCGTCTACATCTGGCAGTCCCGGCGGGACCTGCTACTGTCGAAGAAGCCTCCTAATGGCAGTGAAGCGGGGCCATCGGCAGTAGGTGCGCTACTCACTGCCCCTCCCCGGGCTTCCACGGCCAAACGACCTTCTCCATCTCTGAAGTTGTGTGCAAAAGCGGCGGGTAAAAACTTCATCAAAATGCAGACCTTTAAGACACCGCAGAGGGAGTGCACCCCTCTGGGGGGCTACAATAATAATCATGACGCCGATGAAGTGAGGAGAACGGGATAATCTCGCTTCCACTCTCGCCGAGCGATCTCCTAAGAACAAGGCAGTCCCCGGGCGGGAGGGTGCCGGGCGCCGGCGGCGGGCCTAGGGTGTCCCCACGCACCCTCGACCCCCAGCCCCAAGACGAGGCAGGACCCCGGGGACATGCCCCCCAGCCCGCCCGGGGCCACGCGGCACAAGGTGACACCGTCCGCGCTGGCCCCTCAGCTGCCGGGGAGAGGCCGGAACGAGGAGGGAAAGGGGCGTCCACAGGGGCTCGCGCTACCTTGTACTTATCAAAGCCAGCCAGCTGCTCCGAGCTCACGTATTCATAACCAGCCATGGCGACCCTCGAACGCCCAGCGGCCGCGGGCCAGCGACTCTCCGCGACAGGCTAAAGAAGCTAGAGCACCACACCGGCGAGGCACGGCTGGATGGACCTGGGCAGGCAAGGGAGGTAAAGAGCCGCGCTCCGCCCACCGCGCACGCGTCGCCGACTGGGCCACTTCCGCCGCCTCGCTGCGCGCATGCGCCGCCCCCAATCCTCCCCGCCCACCGAGGGAGGGTCGCTAACCAGCTCGCGCGGCCCGCCCCCTCCCGCCCTCACTGCCCAATCAGCATGGATCAGGCAACACTAAGGCCCGCCTTCCCGGTCTCTTCCCCGCTTCATTTGCTAGCGTCAAAATTGGTGAGTTGAGGTAAGGAGGGGGGGGGGTGAAAGGTCAGTTTCCCAGGGGGCGTTGCTCCTCGCCCCGGGGGAAGGATCGTGCCTGGGGTGGGCACCCGCGTGGCTATTTGGGGTTACTCATTTAGTTTTGGGGCTAGGGTGGTTGGAGGCTGACCAGTTCGACAGTGCCTCAAGGCAGAGGGCTTATTACCTTCAAGGCTTGAAGGAGAAGAGAAGGAAAGGGGGCTGTGCCCATCCCGCTCCAGCGTGGGTCTCGGGGCGCTGCACCCCGTAGCTCTGGCGCGACTTGTAGAGGAGCGGGTGAGAGGCTGGGGGAGGGTTTGTGCGGTCGGTGAAGGTTTGAAGGAGCGCTAAAGACAACACCCTCAAGTCAGCCTTGTTTGTGAATCCTGGACTGCCCCACCGCAGCCCGCACTATCAAACCGTTCCAAAGTAAGGTTGTTCGTGTCTCCCCACCAGGTAGGCACTGATCGCTCGCGCTCCAAGGAGTCCTTCACCCCCCCCCCCCCGTCTGCAAAAAGTGCGTTTACATAACTTCCCAGTTAACTGTGGAAGAACACTACATCAATGGCTTCGAACAATAAAATTAATAGTAGTGGTGTTACCATGTATTGAGCTCCTATGTGTGGAATTCTACATAATCATCAAGCCTGTTAACAGAATTCATATTGCTTCTGCCCCGGGTTACTTTTATTTATTTACTTATTTATTTTGCGTAGAAAAACTGGGTGTAAGCCAGAGACGCCCGAGGTGAGGACGCACCAGAGACAGAGTGAGGAGGCCTATGTACTAAGGTACATTGCTGAGGGGAGCAGTGGGTGTGACAGGAGCGTTCTGCCCACCAGGTGTGGGTCAGCTCCCTGACCATTGAGCATTAGCTGTGAAACTTAACCCAAAAGGCACGGGACACCTGGCCCAGCATTACTTACACAATTTGGAATGGTTAACCCAAGAGGATATAATAAGGTCTTTGGTATGAAAAGTTAGTGCCTAAAAAAACCTCTCAATCTCAGGTCTTCAAAACAAGGGCAATTGTTTTTAGATCCCATGTTTCTTGCATTGATTCAATCAACAAATGCCTATTGGGTGCTCAAAATATGCCATGAATATTATTTTTGTATTTCTTACCTCTCCTTTTAAAGTACTAGATTGTTATGAAGAGGGAGAAAGCAGTTGTCATTATACCTGCTACATGATAGAGGATCAATAAACTTAGTGTCACTTTTCCTCTTTGGTCTGGGAGAGGATTTGTATCTTGCACATCTTAATTTTCCTCAGGTCCTACACCTACCCCTTTGGCTTGGAAATAATATATGATCGATAAATTGACTTCTGTATTGCTGTGAAGTGCCCTACTTTGAGAAGGAAGTTAATGTGAATTTCCCTTTAAAAAGGAAATTGACTCTAATGAAAGAAAAACTATAAAACCACCTCCTTAGACCTTCATGCGATTGTATTTCCTTCATGTGATTGTTTTTCTGTTATAACCATTATTCATGAACATGACTGGTAAATAAAAGATTAATTTTAAAAACTGACCGCAGGCAACGTTTCATTCTAGGAAAATTCTTGCTGTCAGCATTCTTGAAGTTCTGGTAGTGACCAGTGTCTATTTTCTCAGCAGAGAAATAATTGATACTTATACATGGATTTTCCATCTTCCCCCCAATTATTACTGCAATAGAATGGAAGTAGAACACTAGGTCATGCAGATGTGTAGCCGTAGTACCATCACTCTGTCATAGGTTTCTGCCTATTTCTGTTTGGGGACGTTATTCCCATGTCATGGCAGCTCTGCAGATAAAACCAAATGTACTTACTTACTTTTTTTTTAATTCAATTTAAACATACGAGCTATGCAAGGACCCATTTTTTCAAAAGGGGGTCATTTTTGTCTTCATGAAACGTTGAACACATTAACATTGAAATCTGTGGTTGTTTCCCTTGGATGGTAGAGCAATACTACAGGAAAAAAAAAAAAAAGAACTAAGAGGAACAAGAGTCAGAAATATTTTTGTGATTCCATTTTCCTGCAGGGATTCTCAAAAACTTGGGAGGGGGTTGAAGCAATAGTTGCCAACATAGATACCTACTGTTGATTCATGAGACTTTTCAGTTCTTCCTTGGTAGACTAATGGTTATACAGCCTACTGGACCAGAACTCTAATAGCTGGCTTTAGTTTTAGTAAGCAAGACTGTACAAGTATGATACAATGTATAAAATTTTCAGCTTTAGTATTTCATCATGTATGTTCCTTGAGCTGTGTGCCAAAGAGATGCCATCACAGTCCCTGGAGATGGAAAGTTCAGGAAAGCTGGACTCCAGGCAAGCATTCTGTTATTACTGCGTTCTGTGAGTGCCCTGGTTCCTCATGGTTCATTCTGTTTTCTCTACTCAGCCCTCCTTCTGTTTTAAAAATTCACTGTTAAAGTGATAGCTATTAGGCTTACACATAGAATTGACTTAAAGATAGGAAATAAGGGGTCCTTCAAATGGAAATTCTATAAATAGAGACTCTGAGATCTCACAGGAATTAATTTAATATTTTGATGACTATCTTAGAAGATATGGTATAGAAACATCTCTTCAAGTACCATATCAATGAGAATAAACTGCAAGAAAATGCACTTTAAAAAGTTAACCAGGTACAGAAGTTATTTATTACCATATAACAAATCACCCAAACGTAATAACCTAAAATAATATCCATTTTATGTGCTCATAATTCTGTGATTTGGCTTAGTTAAGCATTTCTGCTGGTCTTATTATTATTTTAAGATGACATAAATGGAAGTTACAAGGCCTTTCATAGTCTGGGTTTGGAAGTCACACAATGTCACTTCTGTCATATCTACCAAAGCAAATCAAAAAGGTATCCCAGATTCATAGGAAGAGAAATAGATCCACTTCTACTTAGTGGTGGAATGGCAAAGACACATGGCAGTAGTGACACTGGGTGGCAGGGGACCCAAAACTGGCCAAGGCCCCTCTGCCCAATACTTTACCAAATAATGTCTACGTTCTGCACCTGTGCTCACAATTGCAAGACTGCTCAGACTTAGGAAACAACAGCAAAGGGATTTATTTAACAACCGGGATAAACAAGAGTTACTGAGGCCAAAAATGTCCATTTGCTCAAAGTTGGGTCCAGTACTGTCCTGTACAAAGAACATTATGATGGCATCTTCCTGCCACTGAGGATGCGCAGCTCCTCTCCCGAACGACAGGCAGCCATGTGTCTAAGACGGCGTCTTCCTGCCTCTGCTGACCTGGGGCACATGGCAGCCATACTCCAGGCCAGGTTCCAACTCATAAAGACAATAGAAGGCATGACAGGAGATGCTGGATGTTCCTAGAGCTGCATCCCAGAGCTGCAGGATGTTCCAATACAGCACCAGATGAGCAACACTCAGGACAGCAGTCATAGCCACCAGATGACTGGAAAAAGGCCTCTCTCACATAGCTAAGTCACACTTCCACAGCAAATTCAGGAACCTTTCAGTTGCCCAGTTACTTGCAAAGCCTCTTCCTCTGGCCTCCACCTTCAGAGATCTGCAGCGGCCTTCTCCGTGATCAGCGCAGTCCCAGGGCTCAAATCCATTGGCCCCCAAAATGCTGAAGCCACTCAAACCTGAACTCAAACCTTGAATCCTGGAGCCTGGACAAACAACAACCTCCTTCCTACTCCCTCCTTCACTCCTAATTCCTCTCCAAAAAATCCAATATTTCTTGACATTTCCCCTGAGACTATTTATCTTCACAACAACCCACTCAGGGAGGGGCACCACCTGCAACAGTCCTTGGGCTTCAGCCACCCAGTTTCATTCCCCACTTTTAGTTTTCATCACCCTATCTATGGTGAATATTGGATAAACTCTTTCCACTGGCATAATTACAAATAACATAATGGTACAGCTACCAGTATGATATACACAGTGGAATACTACTCAGCCCTCAAAATAAACTCATGCCATTTTCTGGATGTAACTGGAAGGGATTATTTTAAGCAAAGTAAGCCAAGAGAAAGATAAATATACCAGATGGTTTCACTTATATGTGGAATCTACAGAAACTAAACAAAGGATCAGACAAAGACAGACTATAGGAGTAACCTTAACAGCAGGCTCTAGATCTAAGATACTCAGGAGTGAAGGGGGAGAGACATGGGGTGGCAGGGAAGAAAGGGGAAGGGCAAGAGAACCGTGGACACTTTGGTGGTTAGAAAGTGGTGACCACACCTGAGGGGAGAAATCCTATACTGTGAAAAAAATAACCAAGGATATTTAAACATGAAAGTTAAAAAAAATAAGGAAGAAATTTGGAAATCACTGAAGTACAATTGTTTTAATGTGATCAGGAGAAGAATACCAAGACAGTAAAAAGGGTTTTTACTAGGACAGTAAAAACATTTGTCACAAGATTTTGTTTAGACAATATAAGTGTTTCCTCACTTCCAAACTTCCCACTCACCAACCCTCTCCAGTCTGGCTACCAAGCTCACTATCTAGAATTCACAGCTTCTAGATCCCTTCAATTACTTGTTAGATTTATCTGACATCATCAGCTTAAACTGCCTACTATTATTTCCTTGAAACATCTCCTCTCTTGATTGCTTTGAATTATTCCTTGTCTAGTCTTTTCTCTCTCACTTCTCCCCCCAACACACACACAGACACGCACACACACACACGACCTCCTAGGAATATTAGATTGGTCGTTTCGGGCTATATTTTAGAAGTCTCTATTTCTCT